AAAGCAAAGGTGCTTGAAACAGGACATAGATCCAGAGTGTTTTTGTTTGTGTACGGTGGGGGGGACAAGCATTTTGAAAAAATGTTTTTGAGTAGATGTGTCAGTTATCACTTGGCTTTTGGAAACACTGACTTAGGATGGCTACTTTTCTATCCTCTTTTTCTCACTTGACATTTCATAATAGTGGGTGCAGGTAAAGAACTCCACTGCCTATCTGACTAAACGTGATGATAGACGGACACTGGATGACCTGCAGCTTCCTTAGCCAGTTTATCTTGTAGAGTAGCAGCCTCCTGAGGTCAGAGCCTCATGCATTGTCTGGTGCATGAGCATTTCATGATGCTTCCCAGAGTGAGGTCTTCCAACTCTAGCCTTCCTACTGCTTCCTAAAGATTCCCAGTACAGCCAGAGGCCCTGGGAAGTCTTTCTACAGTTTTTGCCACCCTACCTTGTAGATGTTACACCTGTTCATGACTCAAAGCATGCCTGTCTTTCAAAATGTAAGAACCCACGTTCCCTTCCACTGTATATTCTGTCCTCTGATCCTTTCCTGCCTCCCCATTTCTTTCTTTCCTTTTTTTTTTTTTTGAGAGAGGGTCTCACTCTGTCCCCCAGGCTGGACTGCAGTGGCACGATCAGGGCTCACCGTAGCCTCGACCTCCCAGGCTCAAGCAATCCTCCCATCTCAGCCCCCTAAGTAGCCAGGACTACTGGAGTATGCCACTACACCCAGCTACTTTTTGCATTTTTGTAGAGACAGGGTTTTGCCATCTTGCCTAGGGTGGTCTCGAACTCCTGAGCTGAAGCAATCCGCTTGCCTCGGCCTCCCAAACTGCTGGGAATTACAGGTGTGAGCCACTGTGCCTGGTCTTTGCCTCCCCATTTCTTAATGGTAAAATGCTTCAAAGCTTTTGGCTGAATTGTGACCAAATTAAAAAGCACAAAGCTTCTGCAGACAAAATCAAATGCCTCTCCATCTGTGCCCAAGTCCCACACATTGCTTTGTTAAACGGGTGGGTCGTGGCAGGCACTGGAGTGCTGCTTTTTCCTACAATGGCTGTTCTAATAAATTCTCAAGGAAGACATATTAGGTGTGATTCTAAAGGAATGAGACAGTTTTTTTCCCCCATGAATATACAAGGACATATATATATCCAAATAACTGCTATCTCTCAGAGCAATCCATTTTTAATCAAAACGTTTATAGAGTGGTTTGGAAAACAGTGTGTCAGCCCTGTAAGAAAATCCGTTTTGTTATTTCCAGCTGAGCCTCCTTCCCTTCCTTCAGAGAGGGGTCCTTTATACTGGTGTTGGCCTGGAGCTTGAGAGGCAGAGACCCTGGAAAGAGGGGCTTCAGGGCCAGGCTAATGCTGGAAGATAAGGGGGAGCACTCTGTGTCTTGGAAAACAGACGGACTAAGTTTATTTGTGGGCTGCCCACCTGCTGTATGTGGGCATAACTGGCTGAGCACCATAAATAAGATCGAGTCACCAGGAGTCAAAGCAGCCTGTTTCAGTAAACGTTTAAAGTATCAATATTTGTAATGAGGGCAAAATAAAGCACTGGAGTCCACATCTCCCTGAGCAGATTCTCTCTGCACTAAATGTAATATTTGGGCTCTAATTCAGCATTTCTCAAAGTGTGCTCCACAGAACACTAGCTTAATGGATGAGTAACAGTGTCCTGTGAAAAGGGGATTCTTTGGTCAAATAAGTTTGGGAGATGCTGGGTTAAGCAGTTAAACAGCTGACTTTATAGCAAGACCTCCCAGGGCCTCCGGCTATACTGGGAATCTCCAAGGAGTAGAAAGGCTAGAGTTGGAAGACCTCACTCTGGGAAGCATCATGAAATACTTATGCACCAGACAATGCATGAGGCTCTGACCTCAGGAGGCTGCTACTCTACAAGATAAACTGTCAAGCTTGATTCTGGGTCCAAACTATCAGAAACAGAGAATGAATGAATGAATGAAGGTGCTTCACCTACACCTAAAATTTCCTAAAAGTGCATCTACTTGGTCACAGTGCTATTTCATGGTAATTCTCTATAATGAAATTAGAGCCACTAAAATGCAGAGGTGCTTGGGCTTGAGAGCTATCATTACAGCCTCTCGCCCTCATTTAAAGCAATACAAGATGTCTGGTACTAAAAATAAATTTTGCCTAAAAGAGCCTGTTGGCTGGTCCTGAAAGAGCGGTCAATACTAACAACATAATCACAACGTCAAGGGCTGCTAATGGCCAAGTAGAGAATTCAGCTGTCCTGTGATAGTGTATGCAGGGCCAGGTAACTACATACATGCACATGTGCACACACACATACATATAACTGCCTTCACGCACACCAACTTTCCTGCCACCTGCATTTCTGTAAATGGCACCGCCGTTCACCGATCACTCAGGGCAGAGATCCCAGAGCTATGTGAGTTCTCTTCCTCCTCCTCCTCTTCCTCCTCTCCTCCTCACACATCCAGACTGCCCCTAAATCTTGTCAATCCTCACTCTGGGTATTTATTCCCTTGTCTTCCTACCTACTGCCACTTCCTTATTTCAAGGACTATCTTCCTCCACTACCTGACAACATTCTCCTAATGTATGCCTCCTTCGATCCATCCTTCACAGACTATCAGTGACATTTCTGAACACAAATCTCACTGTATCCCCATGATCCTCTCTTGGCTCTTTACTTTCCACTGCAGGGCTGATCTCGGCTCCCTGGGTGTCGCCTCCCCTCTCCCACATGACAGACATTACATGCTGGTCCCTGCACGCTCACGCCCAGAACTCAGGTGTGCTCTCCGTTGGTCTCCTTGAAACAGTGCTCCTAACAGTCACTGCGATGACTACAGACTGCCCTCAAGACCCCACTCCTAGAAGAGTACATCAAAATTCCTCCTCAGCTTGGTGTTCAAGACCTTCCGGGATCTGAGCTGAGGCTTCTCCAGCCTCACCCGGGCTGTCCTGGTCTTCCCTTGTCTCTAATGAGCTGGTCACACTGGTGTAGTCTCTAGAGGGGGCCTGCTTTCCATGCCTCCATGGCTACATCCCCATTCCCGCACACACCACCACAAACTCTGCCCCTCCCACCCATCCTCCCTTCACCCATCTGTTTGAGAAATTCCCACTCTGCTCACAGCCAGTTAGAAGCGCTCTCCACTCCTGCCCCATCCCTTCCCATCCCACCCTGTGTGTATGTGTCATTCATACCAGGTACTTGCATTATTTGTTGACATAGCTCTTTCCAATTGTGCTTTAAATATCTCCATTTAATTCATTTTTTTTTCCCATTTTCAATACTTACAAAGAGCCTCTTTCGACCATTGAAGAAAGAATTTTTTAAAAAGTCTTCTGAAGAAAGAGTAAATTCATCGTAATACAATCTCCAAACACCATGCTGTCAGCTCGGGCTTACAGAAAAGGAAGTGTGTGTGACAGACCGCAAGGGGCAAGACAGACTCCAGAGAGCCCTGAGGAAGCAAACACCAAGCCCCTTGCTATGCCTCTGGAAATTACAGTTTAAATGTATCTTTAGTGAAAATGAATTTATCTAGTTCCTAACCATATACCATCATATCATCTCCCCTCAAAAAGCCCAGGTATGGCACTGGGGACTTGCAATAAATAGCCTTTAAAGTTACTGATCTACTTTTCATGGTCACATGACCATCTTGACAGAAGAGGGGAAAGAGGGAAAGGAGCTCCTGCCTGTCCCTGTTTCCTGGGCGGGGCATTTAGCTTACATCATGCCATTTCGCCATAAGGCCTCCTTTATTTAAACTGCCCAAACTTATAAAGTCAACTATTTGTTGTTTCAATCTCCAAGTCAGAATCCAGGCTGAGTTCTTTCTCATAATGACAAATACAGAACAAAATTCCTGATGTTTCTCAGTGGACACTATAGTTTATGTGCCTGGTTCCCAGGATTAGTCATTGTTTACTGAACTGCAACAAGAAATATCAAAAATTGACAATCTTGCCCAACAGTTTCATCTCCACACAAAAATGGGTAGGTATAAATCACCCCTAGTTTTTAATTTCCTTATATAAAGAAGAATGCCACAACCAGTGATCTGTGTTCATTCTGAAATACAGGATACATCCTCAATTCTCTCTCTCCAGTCCTAGATTGGATCCTATGCTGGTGGAAAAAATGTTGTAAAGGATGTTATTGGGTCAGCTGAAAAAATTGAAATATGGATGGTAAAGCACTGTATCAACATTTTTTTTAAATACAGGTTGACTGAAAGGAAGAAAGAAATGTTATCTCTCTTACAAGAGTAAGAGCTCCTAGCCTTGGCGTATCATGCACATCCATCTCTCCAGCTCAACCAATGTCATCTAACGTTCACGCTATCTCTAGGAGAAAAGCATTTCTGCTTTCTACCCAACAGAAGCAAAGGCACACAGAGGTTGAAAGAGACTGGCTTCAGATGCTTGGGACTACACACAACAGGTAGGCCCAGGAGTCACACCCTGAAACCCAACCCATCACACAAACAAGAGACAACTCAGCAACTGCCCTCTGCATGCCATGATCAACTCCGGAATGCAGGCACAGCGTGAACATGCACGCTTCTTCATGTCTCGCAGGAGATCAAGTCACTACAGGTGCTTTGCATTAAGCTTCTAAACCAAGACAGCACAGAGTTAAAGAGGCCCAAGGAACATACAGCAGAAGCTGTGCTGGAAGGGAGGGGGAAGCAACAGAAACCCATCTCCAAGATGCTGCAGTTAGGGCGGGCTTTCCAGGAGCTCCCAATACCCTTGTAAGAAGTACATGTATAGAATGGACACAGCCAGATTAAAATACAGCACAACAACTTCAGAAGCCATGACAGGTGTTCAAGAGTATCTGTGCCTCTATCCCGCACTCCAAGTAGGGGTGATCAGGAGGTGACCGAAGACATTTGCTTCCAAAGGCCGATTCTAGGATTCAATCTGTTTCATGTACCGAGGGAATACCTGTATTTAGAGATAGGGGAATACAAGACAGATCCTGACCTGTTTCCTTCTATTTCCAACTGAGAATTACTGGGCACCTTCTCCACGTTACACCTGCGGTAGAGTAGAAAGAACACTAGAGTCAGAAGACCTGGGTTCTCGTCCCCGCCCGGCTCCTTCTTCCTAGGCTGGGCGACCTGGCCTAAGTCATTTTACTCTCCAAGGCTCAGTCTCCTCACCAACCTGCCTTGTTAAGAAGATTACACGGGGTTATGTTTGGAACCTCATTTGGAAGAATAACACAGTTCTCCAAAAATCGGGGTAAAGTAGATTTCCTAACCTTTCTGGGATTTTCCTACTTCTGTCACACACAGAAATTCCTGTTACCCTGTTCCCTCTATACATGTTCCATTCACTGTTCCAGAAGGTGGAAGACAGGCAGCCGCTGGCTAGAGGTGCGTGTGATCTTGGGAAGGTAGTGCTAGTCTATCTGAGTTGAGCCCCTCATTTGTAAAATGGGGAAAATACTTACCTCAGAAAGGTATAAAAATCAAATAGGATAAAGCGCTCTGTTACAGTAGCCCGCACATAGAAGGTATTTCAAGCGTCAGCCAGTTTGGGTCTGAACACCATCTAACTAGTCAGCTCTGCTTCCAAGAGCTCTATTCCCTTTCAATAGATCGCTGAATTCATGATCTTCTGTGGGAAGTGAAAATAAACCCACTACTACCTGGGGTCTCGGGCACTTCTACAAGCCTCTAGAAAAGCCTCTTCAGTTGAGGATTTTTGAAACTGCTATGTTGGTGTCCCTTTGTGTGGTGGCAGGGAAGCAGCTGCCAGGGTTCACAGACCCTGGGAAGACCTCCACACCCTCTAGATCTCCCTAGGTGTAGACAGCACCCTTTGGCATTCACAGCCTATGCCTGTCCACGTATAAATCCCTTCTCAGAGTCAATGCCACATTCTGCTTTAGAGTCAGCTGAGAGTCAGGGCGTTGCAGAGAGGGAAATGCATAAACCCATAAACCAATCAACAGAGGGGTGGAAGTGCATGTGCTGTCTTCAAAATATACAGAAATATTTGGAATGTCTGAAATATAAGGAGAGCTGGGAGGGGTGCACTGGAAAAAAGAGTTGGGAAGATCTGAAGGTTCAGACTGTGGAAGGTAACAGTTCTCCCATGCTAAGAAGTCTGGTCATCATCGGGTAGGCAAGAGGCCGCTGTGAAGAGTTCTAAAGTTACAATAGGAAATGACCAGTGAGGTGCCTCACAAAGAAGCCAGGAGGAAGAGACTGGAGGCAGGGCACACAGTCCACCCTGCAGCTTCCCAGGCCAGGCCAGCAGCGCAAGGGCCTCAGGCAGACAGGGTGTGAGGAGGCAGATGAACGGGTGTCTTGCAGGGACAATTAGAAGCATGTTGAGGGCACTCTGTATTTGAGTCTCAGCAATAAGGCAGAGAATTGGGAAAGTGTTTATTATTTCACGTTTAGGACCTTGGGCAAATGATGGTGCTGACCAAGGAGACACAGAAGCTTAAGTAGATCATGTCATCGCCGAATATGCAAAAGTGATGGGAGGAAAACCTGAAAACAACAAGTACTACCTTAGACACTCTACAGAGTAGACGGTCAATAATTCCGAGAGCTAGGCGTGGCTCTGTCATCTAAGACTGACAGATATGACAACTCAATGGTTCTGAACAACCAAAGATCCCAGTAGAATAATTTCAAATCATTCTGATAAGAAGTCCATGCAGGTCAGCCATCTGATTGGCTTGGGGGAAAAAAATACAAATTTTTAAAACCCTAAAACAAAGCAACAAAAAATAATACTACACAATGACATGGATTTGGTTTCCTAAAACTTATTTTAGAAAGACAGTATGAATGCCAGTGTAAAGATCCGTTGGTTTGATGAAGCCTTGAGATGATAATCAGTGTGGGAAAGCCTTTGACACAGTAAATACCTAACACACTTCAAATAAAGAACTTCCGAGGCAGAGAAAGCCTTGGAACAAGGCAACATTTTTAAATAAGAGCCCTGCCCTTCTGGAGAATGGGCTGATGACATGTGGGCCTTCAACAGAGTTTCAGTCCTTCTCAAAATGAGAAAAATGCTGCAAATTACTTTTCAGTACGTACAGGAATTAAGTACAATTAGTCCACAGTTTGTAGTTTATCAAATTCTTAGAAAGGTGCTATAATGTAATAACATATCAGATCACTTGCTGGGCATGGTGGCTCATGCCTATAATCCCAGCACTTTGGGAGGCTGAGAAAGGCAGATCACCTGAGGTGAGGAGTTCGAGACCAGCCTGACCAACATGGTGAAACCCTGCCTCTACTAAAAATACAAAATTAGCCAGGCATGGTGGTGCACGCCTGTACTCCCAGCAACTCCGGAGGCTAAGGCAGGAGAATTGCTTGAACCCGGGAGGCGGAGGTTGCAGTGAGCTGAGATTGTGCAATTGTACTCCGGCCTGGGCAACAAGAGTGAAACTCCATCTCAAAAAAAAAAAAAAAGCTCATTTTTCCAGGTAAATGTTATTATAATGTCCTAAACTCATTATAAGCACCAGGTAATGTCATTGTATCCTCAGATAATGGGGCCCATGTGACCCCTACTTCCCTGAATTCCCCAGGCCAGCTACCTCTTCAGTAATATCCCACAGGAAAGCTCTCTCCTCCACTGCACGATGAGCTAGTGGGGGTAAGTACTTGGAATTTTCACCTTATAATTATATTCAACAGTATGGTGCTGGAAATAAGAAAAAAAAGATGGTAATATTTCTAGAAAGAATGAATGACTTTTCTCCAACGTGAACTAAAAATTCAGGACAAGCTGAGTCTTACCACAATTCCCAGAGATACCACAAAGGCTTATTAAATTTAGGGGCAAGAACGTATTCCCAGCTGGGGGAAGACAGCAGAGACTGAAGAGGGAGGCAGGAGCCACGTGGCTGCCACTCCACTGTGCACCGGGGCTGTGTTCACCAATTGGACTGACCCGGTTCTGACCAGGCAGGTATCTGCTGCCTCCTCCACCGCTTTACTGCATCCACCTTCAAGGCTAGACCTGATGTCCAAACCCTTTTAAAGACAGCAGGGCTAGTCTTCCTGCGGACTGCTTCTGAAAGAATTGTCTTCGAACAATCGACAGAGAGGGAGGAGGTGATGACACCCTACTCACTTTCTGTCTCCAGATTCTTCAGGAATGAGAACAATGCTCATATTTGAAAAGCAAGGCACGATAAATGGTGAACAAAAGCTCCTGATAGGAGAGTTGATAGAAAGAGCATATCAAGCCACTTCAAGTAAGTTCAAGTGTCCAGTTGCAAACTAATTACATCCTGGAAAAGCATGTAGATTGCTTCTGCTAATAACATTTAGGAAATCACAAGAGCATAAAAATGGAATCAGAAGACTAGAGATAAGCACATGTCCCAATTTTAATATGAGAAAGGAAACTTGAGACTGTTACGCTTGATGTTGACCCTTGGTAAAAATTTAGAAGAAATCATTCAGATGCCACAGGGCTATTTAGAAAAGATAAATAACATCATTAAGTGACAGCAGGAGGTCTCTTAGAAAAAGCCATGGCAAGCTAACCTCATTTCACTTCTTCGGCAGGGTTTCTAGGTTGATAGATTGGAAAGGCTATAGCCATGGTGTATCATGGTTTTAGCCTTTCTTGATAATGCTGAGAAAGGATAAATGTGGGTGACATGAGAGCATGGCTACATGAGTTCATTGATGGGTAACCAACCTTAAGGATTACTGGTTAATATATTCATGTCAACCTGAAGTGATTTTCAGGGGTATGTCACACAGACCTGTCCTTTGTCTAAGTTTCTAAGCAATAGCTCATATCAAATCTTTGGATGACAAAAACTTAAGATACGTAAATGCAATTTTTACAAAAATAAAAATTTAGGGGTACAGCAACATGCAAGGATGATGGGACGAAAAGTAGTAAGGCTGGAACTACACAGGGATGAGAATACAGTCAGCGGGTATAGGTTCAAAAACATCAGGCTTAGTTGAAAGCTAACCTTGGCAGTATTCATACGAAATCAGAGCTGTGTATGTCTGTTTTGGGGTGGGGAGTGGGGTTTATTTCAACAAGTCACATATTCAATGAGTTGACTCTGTCAAGGTTGCTGGAAAAAGTAAACATACTCTTCAGTTATGCTAACAGAATTCTGGTGTCCAGAATAAGGAAGCTAACTACTACCCTGCAATTAATGATCAGAATACGCCATTGGAGCTCTGGGTGCCATGTTTTAAATGGGACACTAGGAGACTGGAATGTGGCCAATGTCTAGGCATCACTCAGAGAGCAAAGTGAAGTGTTCCAACCTGAAGAAGAATGTCCTGACGTAGATATGCTTGTTGATACATTTTAAAGGATATTTCTCAGAATGACAGCAGATTTATTCTCCGAGGTTTCAAGTAGAACAAATAGCTAGGGGTCAGAGGGCTGCATCCCTTTTAATGTAGGAAATGGCGATGTGTTTACAACTGTCTTTCGGTGCCAAGAACTGCTCTGAAGCAGGGAGCTCACACTGGAGGGTCCACGTGGACGTGGATGACCACATGCCAGAGGTGGTACAGGGGGACTTACTTGTGTTGTGGGAAGTTGGGCCAGGCAGAGCTAAATGTCCCTTCCAACTTTAAGAATGTCTCTAGGAATCTCTCTCTCTCTTCTTTATCCAAGTAACTAAAAGCCTCTAGAGTTGGAACAGCTCCATAGACTCTAGTCTTCACCATCTAATTCTACGTCTCATCCCAGGGGCAATCTTCAAAGGTACAAATGCAAACAGGATGAATCCCTTCTCAAAGAACAGTCTTGGGCTAAATATTACATAAATTGAGAATATGAGTTTCTAAAAGCTTCTAAATAAGCAGAAAACAAAGCATGCTTAACAGGTCAAAACAAAGCCTTCTAATACTACTTGATATAAAGTTTTCTATTTGTGCAAATAAAATGATGGGGGCCAGTAGCAACAGACCAGTACTACCTCTGAATAGCAGTTACTGCAGAAATATTTGACATTTATGAATCACACAATATCTGGCTCTTCAGGGTCAGATTTTTAGAAAGTACCCTCCTTTTAAAAAACAAGTCCTATCACTGACTAAAAAGCAATAAATACACACATAAATGATCTTAGTTCTTTATGAAAATATCAAGATACATCTGCCCCAGAATCATGCATGAACTTTAAACAACTGTCTCATGAGAGCTAATTAATTCTTCTTATATATCAGTTAAATATAAATGGCAGTTCTTATTTAATATGCTGTTAATCTACATGAACGTCAGAGCCCTAACATTTGACCAAAGTGATGGGAAGGAGGTTAGCACAGGTGGTATTTCTTTCACAGGTGGGTTGAGTTACTATTTAAGTAACTGACTTTAATGGTGCAAAAATCTCAACACAGTGAAATGTACATCTCCCAGCAGCGTTTTCTAAAACCAACCAAAAATATGATACTGTATCTAATTAAGGCTCTCCTAATTTGAGTGCCTCCTACTTGAGTACCAAGTTAAAGAGAAATACAAAATATAAATAGTTAGTGCTTTTTCTAGAGGATTACCAACATGAAATGTATATGAAACATTCAGTGGTGGGAAATTTAGTACATACTCCCCAGAAAGCATCTAAATGTGGGAGCTAATAGAATGTGTCTTACCAGGACAGTTTTTAAGGAAAAGTAAGCAAGCAAATAAAACAAGGAAAAGTGAAAAAGAAAAAACTACTCAATATCTGCATGCTGAAATATTTAAATACCCTTTACCTACAGTACAACTCAATAAGCAGTACCATTGAAACTGCATTTTCTGTTTCTAGAAATAAAACCACAGAAACCAGCATCAGCAAGGACACTTTCTTTCCGGTGCTCAGAGGTCCATTCACCTACCTGATCAGCCTCAAAGTCTGAAAGGCTGATTATTAATAACGAAACTGTTCAAAGAGCCTGAGTTACATTAACTCCTTGATGACTCATAAGGACTCTAGAGGCAGGCATAGTAATGAATCCCATTTTTTTGGATGGGCAAACTGAGGCTCAGGGAGATTAAGTAAATTACTCAACTGTCCCCAAGCTAGTGAATGCCAGAGTCAGGATTCAAATGCAGGCAGTTAAATCAAGACAAGAGTTTGTACTCTAAACCACTATGCAATGATTAGCTGAGGTTTAAGGCACAGAATCTCCTATCACTCTGTATTTTTGGATGGTTTCTAGGAAAGTGGTCAGCCCATAAGCCACGTACACCAGGAAGTCATAAACTCAAAAGCTATGGAGCCTGCAGGTAATACAAATGAATGAAGTGAGCCAGGCATAAAAAGCATGATGGTAAATGGTAACCCACTCCATATTGAAGAGATGATAGGGAGTGATGGGGACTGCGGCAACCTAGAGCGTGATGCTGCCAATGAAAGGATGGCCACTTCTTCGTGCCTACTGATTGCTACCTTAGGGAGAGCTGGGCAAAGTGCCACCAGAGTTTCAGGTTTTTCAAAAGGGTGGGGGGTGGGAGGGAAATTTTTGCAAGAAATCTCTCCAGGTTTATGTATTGCTGACCCCCACCCCTCCAAAGAACAACATAAAACCAAATAAATCTGCTGGCAGTATGTAGTCCACCTGTTGGTGACTTCTTTTATGTCACTAGAGAAAGACACAGCCATCACCTTAGAACGAAAGGCCTAGGTTCTCAACCTCCAAGGACTTTCCTGGCCCTTCTCAGTGTTGCAACAGCCCTCGACTCACTCAGCGAGTAATGAACAAAATGCCTGTCACACATCACAGCACATCTGGTCAGAGAAACAGATGTTACACTCTCCTGAGACAAAGGCAAAAAAGTTTGATGTATATGCAGGGTGATGCTCTCTACTTAGTAATATTTTGCTTTAAACCAGGGACTGAGAAAATAAGGCATCATAATCCAAGCTGGCTTCTAGAATACCGTCCCTTTCTATGGCAAATATACAAGGGGAGCTGGGGGGTGAATAGAAACGTGAGAGTTACTGATTCATGGTTTACAAGGAAGTTTTCACGTTCAGTCTGGACAAAGCATGGATTTGTGGTCAAAATTTCCTTCCTGGATTGCTGTCATTCCCCTTCATTAATGAACAGCTGGTCCACACCCAAGAGAATGGGGTTGCCTTTCGTGGCCACTTCAGAAGCCTCAAAGGGGATGCAATTATTTATTTATTTTGAAAAAAGGAAAATAGTAAGCACAAAATCTGACAGACCTGGTGGGCAAAATGGAGCAAGAAATTCTGGCCTTTTCACAAACATCTCCACCTACTCCCCTTTCCCCATTTCTGAAAACTCCTTATAGATAAGAAAGGCTTAACAGCAAAACCCCACGGTGGAAAGTTTCTTGCTTTTTATACTACTTAATTTTTATACTAATTTTTCCTTCCTGCTATGATGTATTCAGCAAACCCATAATGAAAAACTAAAAACACAACGTAGTTGTTCATGTTAAACACAGGGGTACAGAGCAACACTACTTAATGTCAAACATTTCTGGTAACTAACTGCTTCTCAGCCTTTTGGCTAAGATCAAGTGTAGTATCTGTTGTTACATGCTTAATATCTGATTCCTCCTCTATCCGAGGACAACATGTTAAGTGGATTTTGGAAGCAGGGAGCTAGAACAGGAGCTTGCTCCATCAACTCCACACATCGACCTGGTACTGCAGTAACTCCAGGAATGATGCACCCCCTTGAGAAAAAAATTTTTTCAACTGGTAATTAAAAACCGATTAATACCACTATGCAACTGCGTGAAAATGCCTGTTTCCCGTCAAATTATCAACTGAAACTAGAAGCCATCTTCAAATGCAAACATTACCACGTGATAATAAAGTGGAAACCAAGTCAACTAACCAAAGTGTAGCCTAACTAGTTCATCTACTGTATGCGTCTGACTGACACCCTACAGTGTCTTTGGTTTTCAAATAATTATTCATTGTTTAAAATGGCCTGGGAGGAGTGTCCAACACAGCTTTCTCAAAGTCACTATCCAAAAATCCCATGAAAAAGGTAAGTTTGCTGAAAGACCATGCTGACTATGTGGTATTAGGAAGAAAGAGATAACTCAAACAAGAGCTCAGAAATTCAAGTGTTGGAAGGAAAGAAGAAACTGTATTTACTAGGAAGCATGTATTTTGCTTTAAACAGTCTTAACATGAGATATTTACCTTAAATATATTAGGATTCTTCTTTCTCTAACAATTCAATTCAAAAAAATAATTTTACTCCATCATTCCAATCCCTTTCATCTGAAATATCTTCATTTTCAGATGGTATTTCAGAGGTCCTTAAGAATCCTTTTCTAATTTAGATTTTTTTTTTTAATTTTGTAATCTAAACTAAATTTTCAACTATCTTAAATAATACATTATGAAACATCACACAAAATAGCAATAGTGGCCATTTTAAACAGGTACAAAGAAAGCAAGCTATAAAACACAAACTAGAAAGAACCTTAATAAAACCTAAGTGCATAACTTAACAACTGCCCCCTCCTTAGGTAGCACCATTCGGCATCTTGGTGAGAGATGATCAAGGTGAAGGAACCACTCACTCACCTATCTTTGTAGTTTATCACAGTATCGATGATAGCGTTCATCTGCTTTGTCAGTTTGGGGGGATTTGGTGACAGTTTCTCAGCAGGAGGGCGGCCTCTTCTCTTCTTAGCTTTTTCCACATCTTCTTTCGCAGGATCTTTATCCACATTTCTTCGTCTTTTTCGCTTCTTAAGCCGTACTTCCTCTTCCATTTCCTCCAAATTGCCGTCTTCAATGGCCTGTTCATTGAAAACAAAGGAGAAAAATTCAAGACAAGGAAATAACCAAGACAAAAAAAGTATGTGTATATTTATATATAGCTTCAACAATTAGAATAAAATGAAAAATTAACCAAAAAAAAAGAAGTAAAATTTAACAGTAATCAGTGGAGGAAGAAGAAAAAAGGAATGCTACCATATTGGATAAATGCATCTTTAACTCAAGTCTGTTTCATGAGCAAAACACACTGAAGGCCCAAAACACTCACAGTAAAGAAGAATATGACAAATATTAAAAGATCTATAAATTCAAGTATTTGATGATAACTGAATCCAGATGAAATTTTAGCTCAGTTTAAGAACATGACCCTAATTTTCTCAATACTGTAAGGGAAGGAAAAGGTAAACAAAACGAGGGGTGGGTTATGAAAAAAAAATCCCTAAGAATACATCCACACGAGCATATAAGCTTTGACCTTTTCTTGAGGTTTTGCATCAATTTGTTCATGATTAACAATATAAATCAAAATTCCATCTAGATTTTTGTTCTAACGTGGCAATTAGTAAACAAGGAAACGGGAAAGTACAAAGCCACATTCCTTGGTAAACGCACTTAAATCATTCGATAAAGAACACACACACTCACAAACAATAAACACTTTTTTCCAATTACCTGCAAACGCTTGCTTTAAACCAGAGCCAGCAGCACTAATGCAGAGAGATAATAAAATAGCTATAAAAACAACCAGGTATAAAAGAAACCTGTTCATAAAGGGCTAAAAGATCCATGTGACAGACCCAGAAGTTTAAACTTTTTTTTTTTCCTGGTAAATCTCAAAACTCAAAAGAAAAATAGAGGAAAAAGACTGCAAAGGAAAAAAAAGAACATAAAATTTGAACATAGAAATGTTCTAAAAAAAAATCTTTAAATTATATTTTGAGATTGCTCTCTCACACAAAATAACTAATGTTGTTATTTGTTCCTCCTGCCTCTCAATATTGCCTCCAGTATGCAAATGATAATCAATCCTTTCTCGTAGCTGAAAGAGCTCTAATCATAAGGCAATTACCTTCATTTCTCCACAGCACCAAACATGGCTAATATTTATGATCATGTGAGTATAACAATCAATATAAAGAGTGATTACAGCTCAGACATAATTTCTTTCACTTATGTACAATGCTTCCTGAAAAAGAAAGGTTTTGTGAAGAAAACCTGGTGCAGAACACAAAACAACCTGGCATGTTAAAAATGCCAGTGGGATTTTTAAAAAAATATGTTTTCTATGCATCCTCCAATGTGCAAATCCATAGAAGCAACATGCACACAGACAGATTCCTAAGGGACAGTCTGAGCCTAGGCCTTAATAATCAAAAGACAATTTCCATCACGATCCTACAGTGTTCAGATAACCACTATGAAGGAGGCGAGATCTGATGAGTTATGAGGAAAAAGGAAAAGAAAAAAAAAAAAGCTTCACATTATTGCATTAATATTCATTTGCCTAAAAAGCAGGACACCCACTATACAGCTAAACACACTGCAGCTAAGCGAAGATTAAGAAAAGGAAATTGTCCCGCATATCTTGGAGGCTGAACATGCTAATAATAAATACAGCATGCAAGGCTGTCAACAGTTAATGGTATTGCTCTCCTCAAGCACCCAGTTGCACACAGAAATACGGAGAACACCGGCTTTTGATGTGTTACACACCTACACATGCCTGGGATGTAGTTCTACTGAATCTTCAAGACGGCAACGAAAAAGGATATTTACCTTACCACTATCAGCAGGCCGGCTATCGGAAATCACAGTTAGTGGGGATAAAATTAACAAGCCAGCAAAGCAGCGAGCTGCTAGTCTCTTCATCAGCTGATCAGGAAAAAAAAGAGAGCTGGGGAAAGGCTATGTTTTCATATACAAGTAATTTTATTTTACTGAAAATTTAATACTGAAAGGATTGTGGATACTCAAATCTGCTGTTTCATTCTACCTACTACAAGGCCCGAAGGCTTCCTCCTTCAGCCTGTTTTAATATTGACAACTACTTATCATATTTTTTTTCCCTTATTATTCCAGGCAGCAGAATTAGAGATTTTAGCTCAGGTGGTTTCTGATTCTTGCTCGCATTTTAACAATTAAGCCAGTAAGAAAACAAATTAATATTCAAATTTATTTTAAACAATTAAAACAAGGTATGCTTTTTTGGCATTTTATACCTTATTTTTAAAAAAATAGCAGCATGGTTTGGAGCAGTCGAAATGATTTTTAAAATAGAAGACAATTTTTAAAAAAATTAAATGCATGTAAATAAAAGCAATGTGCATGTTCTAAGGTTCAAATATTTTAATATAATATGTAATTCTGCTCTTTAAAGAAAATCCAGAACAACTGTAACACTTCACTTTCAGTTTCATGCTGTAAAATTTTTCATTGTTTTTCTTCTCAGTGGGATAAATGAAGTTGGGGGGAGTTGTAAAAAGGATATTTCTACTCTCACCCCCCTCAATTTTGAAAAGAGGGAAAAAGCATAAGCTTGTGATATTTGGAGTTTTAAATCTCTAAATCTGTGAGTAGCTAAGAAGCGATAACAAATTAAATTGCAAACAGAACAACTGAAACAATTTTTATTACAATTGCTAATACGTGCAGATTCTTATTAAATTTAGGTTCTGGAATTACAAGGAAACACACAAAGTACTGACCATTATTCCCCTTAAACTAAGGTTTTATGCAGGAATGCAGAGAGCTACAAAACATCTTCCCTCCTCCCCAAAGACCCCAAACACATCCATATGCAGTGCTTTATGTTCTGTGATTTCTAAGGGTCTTTTTCTAATGGAAATCAATTCACTAAATACTTCCCAATGCTTTTCGCACATAAAGAGTAGAGTAAGATTACTCCTGCATGTAAGTAAAATTATTCATGGAGATTTTAAACTGTTCTTTTATTTTAAAAAATTATTTATTAAACTGGCTCAACTGACTCAAACTCAGCGCTGGGGGTTGGGGGGCACACAAAAAAAAACCCAAAAACTTGCTACACAATGCTAAAGTACTACCCCCAAAAAGAATTCCCTTCCAAACCTTTTACCAGCACAATAATGAAATAAATCACAGAAGCAAACCCCCAGTTTCCGACTGGTGACGTGTTGCGCAAGAGTGCGAGCCCTAATTCAACATACAGACGGCTCCCATGCTGAACTGCCTCTAGATTTAATGAAGTGAATAGGAAGGAAGTCGGGGAAAAAAAGTGTACAAATAAGAAATTAACACTTTCCTTCCCTACCGAAACGGTGAAACACAACTACAGCGAAGTTTAGTGAGGCACCTCTTTTCTTAAAGGCATACTGCACCCATTTGGCTCCGGATGTCACGAAAAAAAACCCATATGGTGGTAAAAATCCCCAGTCAAGTTAAAACAGTTAAGCATATTTCAGCCTGCGTTTTTCCTGAATGAAGCTGGGAATTACTCCTTCCTCCACTGGATGGCAACCTTTTTTTTTTTCTTTCTTTCTTTCTTTCTTTTCTTTCTTTTTTTTTTTTGGCCCTCTTTCTCTCTTTTCTTTCTTTCAATTTTGCTTAAGAGAAAATGTTTTTCATGACTCAGGGTATGCAAGAACGAGATGCAAACTAGCTCCCTCTTCAATTAGTTCTTATGAAAGCAGCGTGCACGTTCTGACAACAAAATGCAGGAGACAGTCATGCAGGATTAGCTGTTTCAGAGGAAACACTTTGCAGCTAGCAAAGCACATGGCAGACCCGGGAAGCGGCCACACGTGGGTCCAGTTGTGGCCCTCTCATCCTGACACACACCAACCACATCTTTTACTGCGTGACGGAAGGTCCAGAAAGTCAGCCTCAGGCGCCTTCTTCTCAACCCGGTGGTGTAAAGAGGCGCTGTTATGCGTGGTTCACAATATCACAAAGCAGAGGGGATCCATGATTATGAATAGGTAAAGAGGGACACGCAAACAAAAAGCCCCAGGCCAACTCCTGCGCATTGTTTCCACCTCCGCCTCTCCAAGTCCACCAAGCCATGTGGCACAGCCCTTACAGTGGAACAAACCATCTTAACACTGAAAGGAGCAATTCTAAAGATATCCAGACAAGGCATGGAAATTTCTTCCATGCGAAACGGGAAAGTCAGTACTCAAACACTAACTCTGCTATTTCAGTATCATATTTCTGTCCGCTGACACTTTCTCTTTCTCCCTCTGGGGATCCTCCTCCCTTAGGAACTCTAGTTGGATTCCAGAAGAGGACCCTGGGATGCTGCTGGGCATGGGGGTGGGGTTACAGAGCCCAGGGCTAAGCATTAAAGAATGCAGGTTAAGACCATTACATTATACTAGTGCTTTCTTGGGACAGCTCACATATCACCAAACTTGATTCCAAAATTCAGACAGGCTAAATATCCCTTGTGCCCTGCTGAGACCCTGGAAGCCAATAATACAGGTAAAGATCCCCCAAACAAGAAAAGCAATGTCAACAAAATAGTGGAATTTTACATTTACATTTTCATGTATGAGATTTTCTTACAATATAAATCTTAAACAACAACAAAGTTGAACATAGAGCTCATCGTCAAAGATGCCACATTATTTTAATCAGTTTAATGCACACTGTAGCACTTTTGGATGCAGAATTTCAGACTCAGGGCTTTGGACAGTAAGTTTTTGATTATTACTGTCTCCAAAAGCAACCTGTTAGAAAAACTGGCATAAAATCAAATTCCCTAAAGTGAAATAATCTAGACACAAAAGGGCAAATACTGTATGATTTCAGAGATGAGAAAAGAGAACGGTGTTTACCAGGGGCTAAGGGAAGAGGGCTGGGGAGTTAATGCTTAATGAGGTCAAAATTTCAGTTTGAGATAATGGAAAAGTTCTGAAGATGGGATGTTGGTGACAGTTGCACAGCAATGTAAATGTACTTAACGTTACTGAAATGTACACTTAAAACGGCTAACATGGGCCGGGTGTGGTGGCTCATGCCTGTAATCCCAGCACTTTGGGAG